ATTCAGAGCAGGGACATGCACCAAAGATTCCTCTCTTGGTCCCCATTGAAATCGCAAGATTCCGTTTCCCTTCCCGAAAGGAAATGAAATTTCCTTTCGGGAAGGGAAACGGAATCTTGCGAATCCAAAAAGAAAGGCTTCCAAACACTCTGGAAAGGAGATAGGATCAAATGAAATGCAACTGAGAAAAACCCCCAAAAACCAGAAAATTGGGCGTTGTAGTATCTTCAAGAAATGGTCTGTGAGGAAATGAGCTGCATTGCAAAGGACCAAAAGATGCCCAAAGTAATCTCACAGATGTTGCAAAAGCAGGGGAAAAAGTCATGGAAGAAGAAAAAGCTTGGAGGGGAAGGTATAATAGACATGGCATGGATGCTTCAAAAAAAAAAAAAAAAAAATCTTTCCCGTACGCTATCAAGTGCAGGCAGATGCAGCAAAGCTTGCCAAAATTGATCCCTGCTGAAGGCCAAAAGCGAAAGGAAGGACTTAGAAACAGGCTGGAAAGGAGATAGCATCAAAGGAATTGCAATTGGAGGAGAAAAAAACGAAAATGTGGAAATTTGGGCAATTTAGTGAGTATGAGAAAATGGACCGGGATTCTATCAGAGCAGTGCAAAAAACCAAAACATGCCCAAACTGAGCTCAGAGACGTTGCAAAAGCAGGGGAAAAAGTCAAGGAAGAAGACAAAGCTTGGAGGGGAAGGTATAATAGACATGGCATGGATGCTTCAAAAAAAACTAAAAAGAAAAAGGAAAAAATCTTTCCCAAAGTTCAAGCCATCAAAAGGCATGGCATGTCATTCAGAGCAGGGACATGCACCAAAGATTCCTCTCTTGGTCCCCATTGAAATCGCAAGATTCCGTTTCCCTTCCCGAAAGGAAATTCCATTTCCTTTCGGGAAGGGAAACGGAATCTTGCGAATCCAAAAAGAAAGGCTTCCAAACACTCTGGAAAGGAGATAGGATCAAATGAAATGCAACTGAAAAAAACCCCAAAAAAACAGAAAATTGGGCGTTGTAGTATCTTCAAGAAATGGTCTGTGAGGAAATGAGCTGCATTGCAAAGGACCAAAAGATGCCCAAACTAAGCTCACAGATGTTGCAAAAGCAGGGGAAAAAGTCATGGAAGAAGAAAAAGCTTGGAGGGGAAGGTATAATCGACATGGCATGGATGCTTCAAGAAAAAAAAAAAAATCTTTCCAATACGCTATCAAGTGCAGGTAGATGCAGCAAAGCTTACCAAAATTGATCCCCGCTGAAGGCCAAAAGAGAAAGGAAGGACTTAGAAACATGCTGGAAAGGAGATAGCATCAAAGGAATTGCAATTGGAGGAGAAAAAAAAGAAAATGTGGAAATTTGGGCAATTTAGTGAGTATGAGAAAATGGACCGGGATTCTACCAGAGCAGTGCAAAAAACCAAAACATGCCCAAACTAAGCTCAGAGAGATTGCAAAAGCAGGGGAAAAAGTCAAGGAAGAAGACAAAGCTTGGAGGGGAAGGTATAATAGACATGGCATGGATGCGTAAAAAAAACTAAAAAGAAAAAGGAAAAAATCTTTCCCAAAGTTCAAGCCATCAAAAGGCATGGCATGTCATTCAGAGCAGGGACATGCACCAAAGATTCCTCTCTTGGTCCCCATTGAAATCGCAAGATTCTGTTTCTCTTGCCATTGCTCATAGTGTTCAAATGAGCTTGTAGTTATATCTTTAATGGAATTCTCTGTGTGAAATTTCCCCTTAGAATGTGCTGCCTCCCCTAGCTGGTGCATACATACATAAAGAAACACACATCTCCGTGCAGGCAGGCAAGCACTTGCACTGGCATCACTTAGCCGGGGCAGGGGACAGAATTTGACTCAATACATCAGCCGAGTTCTGCTGATCCTGTCAAATCAGTTAACTTGGAATTCACTGTGAAGCTGTTTTCCATGCTCTACTACTTCACATTTTGTTTTATGGGGAAAGCTGATGCTTGAGGACCACAACAATACAGGCTTTCCTTTCCACTTTTTTATTTCAGTGCGCTGTCTGTCAAAACCCTCTTTAGTCTTTGCAATCCATCTCTCATTAAGATCCAGCTGTGCTTCTATTTCCTCTTATCAAAAAGCTGGAAGCTGTTGGAAACCGGAAGCAGTTGGAAAAAATTGGAAACAAAGTGAAAGCGTTCACTTTTCACTCTGTAACTGCCCCTGCTGCTGGCAGGAATGTGGCTGTGAAGTATGTGTGCTTAAAGCCTGTGGACTCTGCCCTAGGGATGGAATTAATGGAAAACTCCTCTAAGGGAGCTGGCTCCACTTTTTGGCAGCTGGAGGTAAGGCAGGAACCTCGGGATGTGATGCAGAAGGAGCCTGGGCCAGCAGCAGCAGCTGTGGGTGGCAGATATTTGGAGGCACTGCTGCTAAGACCACTTTGCTGCTCTCTGGGCCCTGCAGCAGTGATGAGGCAGTCCAAGGAACCATGGAAAGGTGTCTGTAGAGTATGGGGACAGACTCTGAGAAGCAGGAGGCTGGGAGAAGATGTGTTGTAGGATCAGCAGAAGAATTTGTAGAGAATAGGGATGAAGTCTTCAAAATTGAAAGAAATGTCAACAGTTACTTCAATTGGGCCTTGTATAGCTAAAGGGATTAAAGACAGGATGTAATAGCTTTAATCTTTGGGTATTTGCTAGGTTTGAGATAGGCCATGGTTTGAAGAGCTCTCATTTGATCTACATACATTTGTGCTATGGCTTGCACCCAGATCTCTGCAGGCAGCTGTGTGTTGTCACAGAACGTGCCTTATCAGAGTCTTATCAGGGTCTCTTCTCTGTCCTCCAGGCATCTTGCAAAGTAGAGTTGAAAATACTTAGAGGGAGAAAACCTCCTCCTTGTGCTGTTCTCCCTGTGCTCTCTCTCCAATTCAGGATGTGTTTCAGAAAAACAAACCATTGTCTGTGATTCAGGATGAGTTGTAGACTTGTTGGTATGGTGAATGCAGCCACTACCCCTGGGGCATATTCTTCTGTGTATAACACTGGTTCATCAAAGAGGATTAACACACAGACCTGAAAGTGTTTCTGGACTCATTACTCCTACCTTTTCTACTTCTCTTGTCTCTTCTAGCTGAACAAAGAATCATAAAAGCATTGGTTGGAAAAGACCCTGGAAATGGTTTTGTCCAAGTTCCCTTTCAGAGGATATTCATCCCTGCTGTGTTTTTGTCTAACTGAGCTGTGAAAATCAGAACAAAGGTAGGTACAAAACATGGCAGAGTGCGTAGAAAAACCTGTTGGTCTCAAAGGATGAGTCCTGGGAATTGTGTGCTGCTGAGGTTTCATTTAGATTACAAAATCAAGTTGTGGGTTTCAAAGGATTACAGGACCAGATTCATAGACTTGCTACCCTTTTTGCCTGTGCTGATTCTGCTTCTCCTCTTTCTCCACCTATTCTGACTGATTGATTTGGTGATTAATTGTCACTAATTCATGACTAAACTTACAGCAGATCATGCTGTATGAAGGCACATAAGTGCCAGACAAACACATCACGTTCTGCATGCCCTGAGCAGGGCAAACCAACCATGACCATAATAATGCAGGTGTCATCAGCAAAGACTGCTCATCTTAGAAAAAACCTACTTTGACAGGCTTGGGAGTGTATCTAAACTGACTTGATAGGAGCTGACTGCCACAGGGTGATTCTTGTCTTCTGACTTTGAGTAATGCAAGCTGAGCCTGCCTAAAATCTCCATTAGGGGATGCACAGGGCTCCTGCTAATTCCTACAGACACCTGGCTCTGTGTGGATTGTCACACACAGCTCTTGCAGGAGTTGTTTATGCTGCAGCAAAGAGAGCATTAGAGAGTTCCTAATGTGAATTAAGTGCTAGCACAGCATGGATGAAGGGGTGAGTTACTCACAGAGCTGACTGAATATGTTGATTAACTTGCAGTGATCAAATTCTCCCCTGGTATTTAAGATCTAGTACCTGCTCTGTACTAAGGAATTGGAAACATTTTTCTTTACTATGGACCTCATTTCTATTGCAAATCCTGCAAATCCTGTGGTTATTTTGCAAGATTGACACCATGCAGTAATTGCAAACATCTAGAGAGGTATGTCATTACCACTACCCCATTTTTAACCCTCTGTAGTCACACTTCTAGTAATGGGAAAGCTGTTTATCATATCCTGCCCACTTTTGATTGTAAGGTGACCAAACAAAATGTGGTTTCTGATGGAGTTGGTTTATGACTGTATTTGCTTTCAGCCATATTATGGGGACATAACCTCATGACTAACATGTTCACCCATATTTCATGGCCATGACTCTTACCACACAGACAGAATGAGCCAGGGTTCCTACAGTGCTGATGTTTATCATTGGTAGGCTTGCATGTTGTACTTGTTTGATCACTGTGTACCAGAAATATGAAGCCCTGGATCCAGGCTTTACATTTAGATGGAATGGAAACTGGTTAACTTTCCTAAAACAGGCTTATGCATTTTTCTTTTATTTTAATTTATCCTGCCTCTTTCTAACTGGAACAGAAGGTATTTCTCAGCCCCCATGGCTGTATGGAATGTAGGAGAGGACCAATAATACACCCAAGAGATCCAGGCATAGCTTTGAGATTTCAGCCATGCTCCAAGGAGAGTGCAAAGCTGTGGTGGTGCTCATGAACTAGATATAGCTCCATTTATATCTCTCCCTCTTTTCATAGAATCATTAACATTGGAGAGGGACCTCCAAGATCATCAGGTCCAACCTTTGACCAAACACCACTGTGCCAACTAAACCACAGCACTAAGTGTCACATCAAGTAGTTTCTTGAACATTTATAGGGATGGTGAGATGTCGTGCAGAGAGAATATTAGGAAGGCAGAAGTTCAGCTAGAATTCAATCTGGCCACTGCTATTAAAGATGAGAAAAAAGTGTTTTTATAAATATACTCCCAGCAAAAGAGGGACAAGGAAAATCTCCATCCATTTGGGGATGTGGAAGGGAACATTGTCACCACAGATGAGGAAAAGGCCGCTTTATTTGCCTCAGTCTTTAAGAATAATTATCCTCAGGGCAACCAGCCCCCTGAGCTGCCAGACAGGGACAGAGAGCAGCATAGGTCCCCCACAATCCAGGAGGAAATAGTCAGTGACCTGCTGTGCCATTTAGGCACTCACAAATCCATGGGGCTGGATGGGACCCACCCAAGGGTACTGAGGGAACTGGAAGAAGAGCAAAACAATTGGTAATTATTACTAAGCATGTATGACAATTATTGGCATGTATGACAATTATTGGCATATATGGCAATTATGCTTAGGTGCTTTATATCCTATATAAAGTGGAAAATATAGGACTTCCCCAGCCCCACCAGAGAAAGAAAACTCACCAAGTATTTATTTTTATTCTAAACTTTGAAATATTTTCAGTACTGGGAAAAAAAACCAAAAACCAACAACCAAAACTCCCCAAAAAACTAACCCTGAAAATCCATCTCATTAAACATACCTAATTTTTTATGTGAAATATTTGGAAAAGACTTCAGCTGATTTCTCCTGAACTTTCATTTTATCATATAGCCAATGCTTAATTACACAAGATGCATTTATTTGGCAGCAAGAAGCTTGTGGTGGTCACAGCCTGGTTTACATACCAGACTCCATGTGCAGTTGCTGTAATACACCACAAGAATTCTATTTTGAGGTCTGTACTCATGGTTGACTTAAAAGACCAAAGCTCTGTTGAATTGGCCATTATATTCTTTTCACCAACAATTAATTTGGTCTTGCAACCACTGAAAAATCTTCAGGGTCATGAGCTTTATTTCAAGCTCATAAATGGAACAAAACTCCACATCCCAGCTGAATTTCAGTCTTTGACCTCCTCTGATTCTTTTCTTCTGTTCTTCTGAAATAATCACTGTAATGGAAACAGAGTTGCTCTGGAGCAATAAATTATAAATGTTGTGCTTGAGGCTGCTTATTGGGATGTGATTGAATAGATAATTTACAGATGACTATTGAACAAAGAGCCTCTGGTGGCTCAAAATAACCCATTTCTTTGTAAACTCTTGAAAGCAGGGGAAAGATAATGCCAAAAACCCTCTCTTTAAATGCCAAGGTAAGCACACAGAGTAATAAAAACTCTGGAAATGAGGGAAGCTGAAAGACTCAGATGGAGAAATGGACACATGCTGTAGCATCTGAAGTGAGCAGCCAGTGGGGCATCAGCAGGAAAGGTTCCCTAGGTAACACCCAGAGAACCTGTTTGCTCCCCAGTCCTTCATCTCCAAATGATGATGTTCCTATTGATCAAACAGTGGGGTGGAGAGGAGGAGGCTGGCTGTGCACAGCTAGCCTGGGCTGTACAGAGCTGGAAATAATGTGTTTAATACTCAGGTTTTTGCAGCTTGGAGTCTAATCTGAGAGCAGCAGAGCTAGATTGAGGAGTAAAAATATGGTGCTTGGGTGATGTGCTCTGAGACTGGAAAAGAGGGGAAAAAAGGGGAGATACCTGTAGATGTGATAGAGACAGCCCTGCAAATCAAACCTGGGTGCATGGTTCTCCAGGGAATGCTGGGGGTATCCCTGCTTCTGCCAGCAGGAATCAGTTTTCTGTTGCAACAGGGTTGTGCTACTCTGCGGTGTCTCCTGCACTGATCCTGCCCACGTGTCTGTTCTCAACATCTCTGCCTCTGTTTTCAATATGCTCATAGTGATGCCTTGGTTAAAGCAAACCAGTGATTTAATTCTTGGTTTCGCTTCTAAGTTTTCAGTATTACAAGGACATTACAAGTCCTATTAAGCAGAGCAAAATAAGCTTTAGCCTGCACATTAGTTTAGCCACAGTGAGTTACCATATAAATGAACAGTTCTGAAATGTACCCAGCTCTTCCACTGGATTTATGTTTCAGCACATATCACACCATAGATTCAACAAACATAGATCATTTTAAATGGACAGCTATGTACAAAATTATTATACAGTGTTATTACAAAACTTGAGAAATAAAGCTCTGAATTTTGAAAGCACAGTACTGCACAGTCCCAGTTTTAAAGCCAAAGTAACATGATTCCACACGTTCTGCAGCTTGGACACAGACTCTCTAGTACAAGCAGCTGACAATGGAAGTCAAACCCAGAGATTTACTACAGGATAAGCTTAAAATGTGTCCAATAGAACACTCTGGAAAACCTCTTCCTTTGCTTTAGTAAGAGAAACCAGAGCCCTGGCTCTCCAAAGGTTGATGGATGCATCAGCATGTGTGACAAGACTACTTAAGACTACTGATGCATTCAACTTAATTGCACATAAGCATCATGTAGGAACCAGACACTGTTTATATGGCCATATGCTTAGTAAAATACATACTTTTACTTGCTTTTTTCCCCTGTAACCAATTTCCCTTGCTTTAAGTGATTGAGAGTAAAAACACATTTGTCTAATCTGAGTCTTGGACCTGGTCCAATATAAGTCATCAGTGGGCAATGAGAAGAGGGATTTAACGCACCTCCACCTGTGATGGTACAGCCACTGCTTAATTTATATCCTTAATTTAGTTGAGGCACTGCTGTTTTTAACACTTCTTCAAGGGCTAACCACTGCAGTCTGTTCTTGGGCCACACTCAGCTGTCATTTCAAGAGAAGTTTGGCCTAAGAGCAGGTTGAAAGCCTTGGCTCCCAGGACAGTGGGTGACAGGTCTGACCCTTTCACCACCACTATGCACAGAGCCATCCCCTGTCCCCACAGGTGCCCAGTGCACAGGCTGAGGGGTCCAGAGTCTCTGGGGAGGCTCTTTAGGTCCTGGGGAAGGGAGTGAAAGGCTGCATGAGGAGAGGCTCTGGGTCTTCATGGGGCAGAAGTTGTCCATGGTGGCATTTCATTGATGCAGAACTTGGGAGTCTCAGAAGGTGGCAGCACTCCAGGGACACATGAGAGGTTCTCTCATACCTTCTGCCTTGCCATGACACCTGCAGGAAGAGGGGGAAATGCAAATTATTTGCAACTATGAACAAAAGTGGTGTGTTTTTGCATGCATGTGTATCTAATGGTTGAGGTGCTACTAGGGAAATCAGTTTCATCTTTTCCTCAGATAACCTAAAAACAGGTGGTTTGATGTACTTAATAAAAACCTCCTGTTTCCAGAACCAATCTTGATGCTCCAGAGTTTGGGCAACTTTGCTTTTAAGTTTAGTCCAATAACATATATCCTTCTAGGTACTAAATTGCTGAACTAACTAAATCTAGAGGATTTAGCAGGACTGTCAGAAGGATGGGGCAGCACACTGTAGCTTGTCTCACTCCATAACTGAATCAAATACCATTTCTGAAGGCAGACATGAAGGCAAAGGGCTAGCAGGGAGATTAGATTGATGAAATTCTCACAGTCTATTTAAAAACTGCCCACAGACAATACTGGGTCTGCAGAAGGGGAAGTGAAGCATCTGTCCCTCAAGAATGAAAGGAAAACCTGGAATCTCAATCCCTTCTGTGTCTTTGCAGGGGAAGGTTGCAGGTTGATGTGCCACTGTGCCATGTGCATGTCATAGCTGCCCTTCTGCCCTTGCCCTCCCTCCTCACCAGGCTGTGGTCTCTGAGCTGGTCTGTACTCCTGGTTTGGTTTTCCTTTTATTTTCTAGGGAATAAATCAAGCAGATTTGCGAGCAGGGAAATTGCCAAAGCCCAATTGCTCATGGACTTGTGCTTTCAAGGCTTTTCTCTCCCCTAACCATTCCAAGTGACACACAGAGGGGAGGAAAAGGAGAGCTGCACAGACAGATGTGAACATTTGTCTCTAAGAATCCTCTAGAGTTTAAGGCAGGCACACTCAAAGAGCAGCTCTCTTGAGTTCAGGTGTTTGTACAGTCTCTCCTCTCTTTTACTGTCACCTTAATAAAATGATTCTTTAGGCTCTTTCAGGACTTGGCTGGAAATGAGTTGAGATGTTACCAGAGTGCACACAGTGTGACCACCAGTGCCTTGATTCCAGAGGAAAAACTAAACCGTTTCTTTCAAGAACATGAAGATAATGTGGAATACCACTCTTTAGATGTGAGAGCTGACATTTAAAGACATTATTACAGAAATTGCTGCATAACAAGATATGGTCAAAGTGAGGCAAGAATTCAGTAGCTGATTACAGTCTTTTACTGCTCTGAAATATTATCACAGAGTCTCAGGCTGTTCCTGCCCTCTGCTGCTGTCAGGGAAGCTGTAAAAACTCATAAGGGGTTTGAGTCTTGATCCCTGCAGCTGGATCTGCACAAGAGGAAGAAAATTTCTGTGGCTTCACTGAGACCCATTAACTTCCACATCAGCAAATCCACCAGAGAAAGAAATATCCTGTACCAAAAGAGAACTACTGGGGACCTGAACAGACGATGTATGCTTGGGACAAAACATAAAATAAACAAAAAAAAAAATCCTAGGAAAGATCCTAGGAAAAAATATTGATTGCTAACACTTCAGGCTTGCTGAATCTGTCTTATCAAGAAGTTCTCTCTTATCTGTCTCATCAAGACAGGAGCTGCATTTGGGAGAGGAAGCTCTCTGGCAGGAGACTAGGACAAGCAAATGGGTTTTTGCTTCTGCTGCCCTTGCTGTGGGACATACAAGAGAAGAAGAGGAAAAAGAGAAGTGCAGGTTTCAAGGTGCAGCTCATTGCTGCCCTCTTGGCATCAAAGCCCAGGTAGGCTCTGCTGGTGCAATGCCAGGCAATGCATTCCAAGGATGCAGTGAAACTCCTGCCTGACTTCATAAAGGTACTGTATGCCCATGCATTTGTCTGTGCTGCATTTCCTTGTCTTCCCAGGACAAAGCAAAACTGTGTTTAATGTATTTTTTTTTCAAATATGACTTTTTTTAAGCCTGTATGCTTTAAGGAAAATTTTGAGTTAAGCTTAACTCATGGTTCCAGCTGCCCTTCCAATGCAGCATGTCCTCTGGTTCTGGTGTACTTCTCACCTATGCTCCATTGCTAACATTTTCTGTTCCTGCAGGAAATCTTCCTTAGTATTTTTAAACCAATAGAGCTACTTCCACTTCATGTACTCCTATGGTACTGCAAGAAAGGAGCCAAAAGGAGGGCAGGAGTAGTGAGGACTGTAACTACCCAATGCATATCCCATTTTCTCTTGCTAGCAGTCATGCTCCAGGTGCAGGAACAAAAGCAATCCTGTGGGGAAATCCTGCACAGACTCTTCCTGTCTCTGTGCAGGAGCAGGGCTCCCAGCTGGGCTCCCAGCCCCAGGGAGCTGGGCATGCTGGACAATAAATACATTCCTTTCAGGAAACAAGACAAAGAGATTTGATGATATTGATTTAGTTCATAAGAGATGCTCATCAGCATGGAAAGGACAATGTGTAACTATGCAATTTCAGTACAGTGGGGGCTTCACTTGTTTATTTTTCTTGCTTTTCTTTCCACTCGCTGTAAAAACAAGTTTTGCAAATGGAAGCCTCATCCTAGAACTCCTTTTGAGGGGCAATTGCATGTTGCCAGCATCAGTGAAGGATGCAGGGAACTTGTGTGCAACTCTGGAGTTGAATTTAGCTTTGAGTGGGAGCTGGTATCTTGCCCCAGCTAGAATTTGCCCCTAGGTCCAGTGTTTTATTCCCTTCTCCAGATACCCACATTTAAACAGTGCTATAGAAAGTGGTTACCCACAAGCAAACCAAATGTTCTTTGCTGGAGGTAGGTACTGAAATTGCATTTTTACAGTTTTTGAGATAATAATGTGATCAAAGCAAGGACTTTGTTCATCACATGAAGTCTGATTGTTTGGTTAGAATAATGGCTTTTAATTATCTGCAGGGAGAAGCAGTTTGGCTGCTGCTGACACAGAGGACAAACATGTGGGCTGTGACCCTGTGTCGAGTGGAGATCAGCACTGACTCCACTCAACACAAGATCAACACCCTGGCGAGGAAAAATCAGAGTAACAAATTTATTTCACATGTGTTTGTGATTAGACACAAAGACAAAAAGCTCAGGTGATATGCTGAATACTGATTAGGTCTGTGAAGTCCCAGTGCTGTGGTTAGTTCACAAAAAAAAATCTTTCTGAGTTTACATACCTCATTGTGCCACACAATCTTTTTTTGTTTTATTATCTCCAGTATCAGTCTCAACCTCTGCTTTTGAACAAAAGAGAGACACCAAATATATCTGATCATGGCAAGGCCAAGGTAACAACAGGGAACTTTTTTATGATGAAAATACTGTCTAGTAGTAGAGAGGTCCCTAAGAACATAGACTCTTGGAATGGTTTGGGTTGGAAGGGACCTTAAAGATCATCTAGTTCCAGCCCTCTTGATGCCATCCCTGGATGTCCAGGGAACTCTGTGGCTTTTGCAGGCTGGGGTCAGTTCTTAAGCCAGAAGTCCTAATTTCAGGTGTCAGGAAAGCATTGCCAGGGCTGGGAGCATGGGATGCTCCCATTGCTGCAGCTTCTGCTCCTCGGATAAAGCAAGTTCAGGAACCAACATTACAGGAAATAACTTCTCATTTGTGGCTTGTTTTTAACCAGGGGAAAGTAGCATGCTTAGAAATGTAAATAGCTACAACCCTGGGGCATGCTGCATTCAAAGGGTAAGTCCCTCTGTGGCAGCTGCTCAACCTATGCTCTCTTTCTCAGCAATGGGTATTCAAACCCTCCTTTCCTCTCTCCTTGAAAGGGAAAAATCAAGCATTGGTAAAAAGAGACTTTCCCATTTGCCTGCCCATTTGTTTGACCTCAGGATCTTGCAGAAAACAGGCTTTGGAAAAGAGACTGTAAGTTCTAAAGGCTGACAGACCCATCTGTCTTCCCTACGAGGCATCTCCAATTTGGGATTAAGGTACCCACCCAAGGGTGGTAGGATCTAAAGGACTTGGACACTCTTCCCAGGTTTGGGACTGGCTGAGGATTTTGGTAAGAAGAGGGAGGCCTGTGTGGCTCCAGGAGACAAACTCCCTCCCAACCCCAGCAGGGCAGGCCAGCTGGAGGACAGATCCTTGGTGGAAGCATCAGCAAGATGCTCTTTTTCAGTGACTGACCTTTCCCCCTCCCTCTGCAGAGATGGTTTGAGGGCCTGATGTTTAGAAGCACCTAAAGCACCCCTGGGGCAGGTTGTCAGGCAAAAGTGCTGCTGCAATGAGGGGAAAAATCAAACAAGCCCAAGGCAGCATTGATGCTGCTGCTTTTATGTGTTTATAAGTAGTTCAGAGGGGTGATTGCTGATTAAGTACCGAGTATTAACTGCTCTTAATCACTGCTCTGGAGCCTAATGGAGCTCTTGTTTGCACATAACCGTGCCTTGTAGCTGTCTTTAGCACACTTGACAGATGTGCTTATTGCCATCTTTACTGCATATGTGTAATGGGCTTTTGAATTATTGATTCATCATTACTCCTTTATAAATTACTTATGTGTCACCAGAATGAACTATGCTTGTGTTTTTCTTTTTAAAGCTCTTTCAGGTTAGAAAAATATAATAACTGCATGAAACAGTGTGACTCTAGGGGCAGGGGGCACTGGGCCTTGAAGTGGAAAGGAAGAGGTGTATACAAATATATCAGGAAGGTTCCCACATTTAAGTCAGTCCCCAAGGGCTATTTATAAAATAGGCTACCTGAGTAGCTTTTGCTGTGCCTCTTCTTCTTCTTCCTTTTCCCTGATGGCCTCTGCTTTTCCCTGTCACTGTGAGTTTGCTCTGGGGGAAGTGTTGCTGAGCAAGAGGAGTCGGTGGCCGGCTCCTCTGAGAAGGACTTGTCTTGAGAGGTGTCCAACAGTGAGTCTGTACCAGGGTCTTCATTCTCCTTCGTCATTTCTTTTGACTCTGCCTGCTGAGCCTCATGGCAGGGAGCAGGCTGAGCACTCTCTGAGCCATCAGCTGGGCATTCCTTGTCCTGGCCTCCTGACATGGACTCATTAGTCCAGCTGAGTTGGTCTCTCAGAGCAGGGGCTGAACTGCTGCTCACAAAGCTTATCCTTGTGCCTATGTCAGCCACAGAGAAGCCAAGGGAGCCGCTCTTTGTGCTGGGCTGGAGGCTTTCCGTGTTGTTTGCCTGCTCCATCCCGAGGCCCAGTGTGGTCTGACTGGCTCCATCAGCTTCCACCACGCTCTCTGAGGGGCTTTTGGTCTGGGACTCCAGTGGCAGACTTCCTCCAGCACTGTTTGTAGATAATACTGACCCTGAAGCTGAAGCATTTGTAACACCTCCACCTGTCTCCATCGGGGCAGTGGTTGAGGGAGGAGTGCTTTCTGAGGGATGATCATCCTTGTTTTGCTCAGCCTTGTCACCAATCTGCTTCCCTGCTGCTTGTGGATCCTTCATGCTCTGTCCTTTAAACAGAAAACACACAATCAGCCACAGCTGCAGTTTCATCAGGAATCAGCCAAGATGCACCTACCCTGCAGAGGTTACAGGTCAGCAGCTGCCTGTGGAGGGAGCACTGACCCTAAAGCAGCTCCAATGCAGATCTCCAATGCAGAGGCAGCACCAGTTTATCCTCCCTGTACCTCCCCTCATTATACCCATGTGGTCACCCTGGCTGGACTCCAGGCTCCAGCTCAGCAAAGCCCCTGATTTGTTTCCAGCAGGTGTTAATGTGTCTTTTCTACAAAATGGCTGATTTCCATGGAGGCTCCAGGACTTGCAAGGAAATCTTAAAGTCTACAGCAGAAGAGAGAACCTGCCTGTGAGGTCCTGGACCAGGCTGGACTGCTGGCTTGGTGTGGGAGGACTTCAAGGCTGCCCATTAGCCAGCCTTAACCTGCCCTGCAGAGCAGGCCTAGGACAGACCAATGTCTTTGGATTTGCCTAACTGCACTGACACTGAGGTCAAGAGACCAAAGAAAACCTAAACCCATGAGGCTGTCTCCTCACAAGCACCTAAAGGACTCAGGTACTTCTGCAAATAGGGTTTCTTATCTTTTTTAAAGGGTTTCTTCAGTCTCCCAAGTGTAGACTAAGATGGGATGCAGCAGTCTCCAAGACAGGAACACACTGTGCTACTGAGACTTGAGAGCATGCAGGGGACTTGTGTGGGGATAACAGCAGTGCCTCATCAGCATGGTGCCATGGCTGACACATGGGTTAAGCACCTCAGAGGGTTTATCAACACAGATGCAGGGCCATGCTGCTCCAAATTCCTGCTAATTTTGGGACAGACCTGGCTAGCAACAGCTCAAGGCTCTCTGCTCCTCTTCTCCTTGGCACTGGCTGCAAAACCTCCTTAAATAAAATGCCCCAAATGCAAACACAAAGGCTTCTCACTGGTGCATGCTTGGCTCAGAGGCAGATGGGAATGAAGAGCTGCAGGTAGTCAGGTGTGTGTCCTTACCAGACTGGCTTTCCTCCAGGCTCTCTGCAGACAAGGCTTTAGGAGCTGCCTCTGACTCATGTCTGTTCTTTGTCTTCCTCAGCGTGAAGCCTTTCCTGATGTCGGCGAGCAGGGCGTCGATGACACACACCTCCTCCTGCTTCATCAGCCCCTTCTTGACTGGGGAGAGAGGGATGGCAGTTACACCTGCCCCTGAGACAGGCCAGCAGGAGATGCAGTGATGCCACTGCTGGAGGCGCCTCCTGCTGCCCCAGCACAAGCAGCCACTGGGCAGGAGCAAGGCACCTACAGCAGATGTGGGAGCAGCTCTGTGATCCCACAACAGTGCTCCATGATCCCACAGCAGTGCTCCATGATCCCACAGCAGCCCATCCTGGCTGAACACAAGGGATTTGCTCCCAAGTCTTGGTGCTACAGCCTGGCACAAGTGGCACCAGCTCTGCCTGGACACATCCCTGGTTGTCCCACGACTGTGAAATATTCCCTGTTTGTTATCAATGTTTGTGGGAATGCTTTTTTTTTTTTTTTTTTTTTTGAGGAAAAATAATTTTGATTTGTCTTTCCTTTCTGCTTCTTCCAATTGCATTTTTTAGTCTTTCATTTTCATCCAGCAGAAGGCATATTTAAGCAATATGCAAGATTTTTGGGACAACTGTGATGAAGAGAGACTATTCAAGTGTATATGAAGACCTTGGATGGTGGATAAGTCAAATGTTTCTTTTTAGATTTGGGATTCAAAAGTTATGTTTAGAAACTGGAAAAGTTAACTGAAATATTTAATTTGTGGTGATTTTCTTTCTTCTTTGCTGTTCAGTCAGCAAACCTAAAATTAACTTCTCTGCCCAGCTGCAACTGTGGAAAGTCAATTCTTAGCTAGGGCTGTAAGACTCCTAAAAGCCTTTAGACAGCCAGCACCTAGAAACCTACAAAATAAATTACCACTACTGGTCCATTAAAGCAGGACCACCAAAGAGCTCCTATGGCTCCATCTCTATTTTTTGAAGCCATTTCAGATACTCACTGACTTTTCCATTTTCTCCCTTCTGTCTCTTGCCCTCTTCCTCTTCTAGCTGTTTTTTCCTCTTCTCTGCTTTGGCAGCTTGCTCCTTTCTGTCCTTGTTTTCCTGCAGGGAGGTAACAGTAGCATGAGAAGGTTGGGTAAATGTCTGCTAAAGAAGATGATGAAGAGAAAGGAGATCTACAGATGAAGGAAGAGAAATTCTGGCTTTGTTCTGTGCAATAAATATAATGGGCATTGGGAATAAGGGCTGTCTTACCAAAATGGTGAGAGGGGACTGCTGACTTAGCCAGGATTTTGCCACGTCCCAGCTGGAGGTGGCAGTGGTGCTATGCCTCACACAGCCACCTGCAGTGTGCTCACCTGCCTGACCTCGAGCTAAGGTGACAGTGGGAGACACTGAAGCCACAGTTTTTTCCAAACAGGTGGCTTTTTGACTACCTATCCTCCTTCTGAGCCTGTTTGCCTCAGGCTGGAGCAAAGGGTTAAGTTTTGTAAGCCCCTTTCTCTACAATTTGCACACTTGGCTCAAAGGCATCTTTGTGATTGACTCTGCAGCTAAAGTTGAAATAAAATCACAAATCCCTGGTGTTTGGGCCAGGCCCAGCAGCACCAGAACCTCCATCCATGAGGATGCAGTGGAGGAGGGATCAGACACCACTTCACTGGGAGACCTCATGCCAAGTGCCAAAAGGAGGAGGCTGTAACCAGTGTAACCAGATTGCCCCCTGAATTGGGGTGCCCATCCCACCCCTGTCCATTGGAGTGGAGGCAGCTTCCAGCACTAGGGGTGCTCAGCATCCTGTGTGCAGCTGCCAACCTTCAGGGCTCGGATAAAGAGATCTCTGAAGGTCTTCATGATGCTGAATATGTCCTCTAAGGACAACTTGCTTGGATCTTCACAGAGATAATTTGCAAGTTCTTCTCTCTTCTTTTCAATGGTTTCAAATTCTTCTTCCAGCTTTCTGGAGGCATCAATGCTGTCCTGAAACACATTAAATGCACACTGTAAAACACCATCCAGAGGACAACGAGTGAAGTGCACTCATAGAGAAAGGATTAGAGCTTAGAGCAGGACTCTGGGTCCTGGCTTTTAACTGCAGCTTTTGGAAAGCAGGTGGGAAGAAATTAAGATCTGCAGATGATCTTCACTCTTTGCAACTGTGCTGTGCCAACTTACAGAGCAGTCTGGCTTGAGCAAGACATGGAAAGCTCCATGCAAAGCTTAATTCCAAGCAAAGGGCTTCACTCTGGTGATCCACACAGAAGGTGACCATCTTCTCTTAAAGTGAGGAGTCACACAGGAGCATGGACAGAGCAGTTGGGGCAGCATCCTAAGAAATGGCCTCCCCAAAGGTATCTAAGTTTGGGGTGCAGCTGGCCACTGCATATTTGGGTTGTACAGCATTGCATCATATTTCCAAATCTGAGAGCATGTCTTGTGGCAATATTTTCTTCCCTCTCATGAGGCTCCTGAGCTGCAGATGTACCATGCAGCACCTCTCTGTGTGTAATGGGGGAGATCTAAGGCAGCTCTGTTACTGACCTGGATGGGTTTCTCATACTGTTGTTTCACATCCTCATTTGATGATAAGACTTTCCGCTGAAGCTCCAGCAACTTCTTTAAATTGGTACCGGACTCCGTGCGTATAATATCAAGATTAATTCTGAAATCACAAAGAACCCTGCCATTAGCTGACACTCCAGCATCTTGAGCTGACCAAGGAGTGGACAAGTCTGAACTGGTGGTTTGGTCACCCCTTTGTTTCCCACCACTCCACTGAACTGAACCCTGTGCTCTGAACTCTCTCTACAGTCCAAGCTCAGGGAAAACAGCTTCCCCTCACAGTACTTATGGAAAGGCTGCCAGGCCTATCTACAATTCTGTGCATTAGGTAGATGAGTGCCAAAAAAAGCCCACCTGTTCAAAAGGCTGTTCTCCACCCATGCTCACTTCCCCTGCCTGACGGGACTTCAGAAATGTCTGGGTAGCTGACCCTCACCAGCTCCTGCCACCACAAAGGCAGTGCACATTTCAGAAGGGTCTGGGAGGCAGTTTTAACTGACTGCTCTGCAAATTTCAGTCCTAAGTGTTGCCAGCTGTAGTAGAATTATTATATATTAAAGAGCTTTCAACATTCATCAACCAAATCTTTCAGTTAAAACTATGTAAGATGCCATCTTGTTAATCTCTATACCAGCTGTGTGTTTCCTAATTTCTGGTACATTGTTGATGTGCATGGGATTTATTTTTGTTTTTAATTCAAAGGAAGTGACACACAATTTTACCCTGCTGCTTTTGAAACATATTCAAGATCCTTTGGCAGTTCCAGTAGGTCCTTGTGGCTGTTTTCTACTTCCTGAAGAGGAAGAGAGAAAGAAGTGTTATTTGGTGTGTGGCAGGAGCCAAGGGGAAGCTGGGGGGCAGACACATGGACAGAAGTTCTGCTATTGCCCCCCTGTCTGTAGTTTGCACATTCAGAGGAAAGGCGTTTCCCCTGGCTATAAAAACACAGAAGAGAACTGAACCCTCAGAAATACTCATAGTTCAAAGCAAAGCAGAGCTCTTCTTGAGCATAGAGGGAGGCAGGACTGTAGTTTGATGCAATCTGACACTTCCCACAGTCCCAGAAGGGTACTAAAAGGCCTTGAGTCTTGCATTCTTTACTTTCACAGCTGTCCTTGCTGAAGCCACTGCCAGCTAAAGCGGGGCTTGAACATGTGTAACTGAAACCAAGGGACATTGATGAATGAAGGTGGCAGAGCAGAGCATGGAGGAAAAAAGATAAAAACAGCATTGCAGGGAATAGGAGAGCCATGGGGGCCTGGAGAGAAGCATGAAAAGCCTGAGCACAGTCTGGAGGAAAAGGGAAAGTACATGGAAAGGCAGAAAGGCTGAATGGGTACAGATGAGCCAGGACAGATTTGTGCTCTGTGGTTTGCAGCTGCTGATGTGCAGATTGCACAAATATGAAAGGAAGTTGCAGACACTGGGAAAAGAGGCTGGAGGGAAGCAGAGCAAGTCTTAAAATAAGGAGTAGTGCCCACAAGCAGTCTCCACCAGAGTCACCAAAGTGATTCAAGTTCTCCTGACTTGTGACACTCTGAGGTTTTCCAGGGAGGATGTGAGTATGAGCATGTGGCATTAGCCAACAGCAGAGTAGGAGAAATGTTTCATCTGTGATAAAACCCTCCCTCTTCCCTACTGTGCAGAACTTGGCAGTGGTACCTCCAGAATATGGTGGAGCAGTGTAATGCGGGTCTGGTTGGCTTTGGTTTCTGTTAGTTTGAGTAAAGTGCTGATTTTAAACCCATCGGCATCGCCTGTGTGACTTCCCTACAAGAGAGAAAAAAAGCAGATGTAACTCCTGTGCCCATCCAAATTACAACCCTAAAGGAGATCATTCACAGACTGTAATGGGGGGAGGAGAAGACAAAAGAAGTCCTTACGTAGTTCAGGAAGTTTCCAACTTTGAGAATCAGTTGACAAAAGACTGGCAGGCGATGACTGGTCAGAAGATCTGAAAAACATAAGGGATTTTTAAGCAAAAGCCTCTGTTACACCAGAACATTTTCTAAACTGCATTGAAATTGGGATTATGAATTCCACTAAATCAAATCTGGTATTTTGGCTTTGCAGCCCAATGCCCAACCAGCAGAGAAACTGATTCCATGAAGATTCAGTTCCATGGGCTGTCAAAGTCTTTGTTGACTTATGTTTCTTTCTTTACATCTGGTCTCATTTCCTAATGGCAAATAACCTGCAGTGGGACCCTCCTCACTAAGAGCAGTCAAGGTCCTGCCTTCCTTGCAAGTTTCCCAGTGTGGGCAAGGGTAACTGAGCTGAAAATTGACTCTTGCCAACTTCATTTAGCTGTGCTGTGAAGCCACTTCTGACTGCACTATGATCACCTGCCAGCTGCTAAAACCAGACATGCTCACCCTGTTCCTGGTCCCTCATGGTAGAGACCAGGCATGAAGAGTGCAGTCCCTGTTCTTGCTCTTACAACAGGGTGCTGCAGTGCTGGGCTTTCTGAAGCACTCAGCTTTGAGACAGGAACAGCTCCAAAAGAACAACTGGGCTGCTGGAAGTCACTTCGGGGGAAGCTTCAATTTATCCCAGCAAACAGCTGTAATGCCAGCTGGAGAAATCCCCAGCAGGAGTTGGGGCAACTGGCCCTGTAGGACAGGTGACACTTGACAGTGCCAAGAAGAGCATACTGCTCTCAGAGGAGTGGGATGAAAGGTTTCTGCCACAGGAAGCCAAAATCTATTGCATAAACTTTCTGTGTACTCACCATTTTGGAGCATCAGCAATTTATAACCCAAAATAACAACCTTTTTCTTCTGGTTCCATTTCTAGGCAGGGAAATACTAAAGCAGAGCTGCTTTTGGGGGAAGTTTTCTGGCAGTAGAGAAAATTACTGTATTATGAAGTTCTTAATTTGGGAAATAATGCTGGATGGATGATTAGCTGCAGCAGGGCCAGCTCTGCTGTCTAAATTCAGCTCCTTTGGAAGGGCTGATGAACTTCCAGCACTGCACCATTCAAAGTGTTTCAGGGGAATACATCTGCTGCATGAATAAAGGGATGAGGATGAGAGAAAATAATCTTTGGTCCTGTTATGGGCTTTGACCATCAGTGGAGATACCTAAAGTTGCATCCCATTTGCAGCAAATCAGCGAATGGACCACACAGGAGTTCTTTGGGGTTTACTGCAGAGCTCCAGGGGAGTTTTGGGGGTAACACTGCAGAGCTCCAGGGGAGTTTTCTGGGGGTTAAAATTTCCTGTCTTAAATCAGACCCAGGAATAAGCTCAGGTCATCCATACCTTCACAGGCTCTCCGGATGGCTTCAGCTTTGGGCTGAATCATGTCAAGCACGACGGTGGTCTCTTCACAGATCAGCATACACTCAATGCGCAGCTGGTAGCTGAGGGTGGAGATGGATTCTCAGCATAAAGGCACTGGGATCTCAGCCAGCACAGCAGCCCCTTTCCCACATCACCAGCAAGCCCATGGCACCCCACAACATGCCAACCACATCCACAACAAACCACTGGCGTGGCCTGTGAAGGAAGGAGAGGGGCTGCTGCTGGCCCTGAGGACCAGCAGGGATGTGGGTTCTGCTGGTGCATTGTGATCATCAAACAGAAGACTTTCCCCTTCTTAGCACTGCATTTTGCACTGCCTTTCACTAAGTTATGGAGCCTCCTTGGGCAGATCCAACCCTGAGTCTGAGCCAGCTTCAGCTGGTTCAGAGGGAGAAGGCATGCTGGATCAGGAATAGCCCTTCACCTAAGGGTAACAGGGACAGGGATAGCTCCAAGGTGGAAGGGGGAATCCACCAGTTATATCCATCAGTGATGGTCTCTGAGGCTCCTATAAAGAAACTTCAACTTCCCAGAGGTAAATCAAGAAACAGATCGGGCTGAAGTTTATGACTAACAACCTTACCTGGGAATCTGAAGGAGGAGAAGATAGAACTGATCTGCATTTGCTAGCTTTGATTTCTCTTCTTTGAAGGCCTTCAGGTTTTCTATCTAATGAGAAACAGAGAATCAAGACTGCAGGGCTGCTCAATGTGCTCAGCTCTGTGAACCAAGGGTGGTGTTTTCTTCCTGACCTCATGCTTTTCAGGCAGCAGCTTCAGCAACTGCTTCAGAACCTCAACATCAAACTTGGTCCGGTCCCCATTCTGGATCATGGCAGTCACCTCTTCATTGGAGCTGCAGGGAGGAGGAGCAGAGCCAGCCATCAACCAAAGACCACTTTCCAACTATCACACACTACCAAGAGATTTATCTGTGCAAGCACTCTGTGCTTTCCCTAGTAAAGAACCACAATAATCCAAAAGGAAAGGGATCTCCCCACAATTAACTTGGAATCAGGACCCGGATCCCTGCTATGACCCAAATCTTGTTTCTGGCCCTGATCAAATGTTTCAAGGACAGAGATGAATCCTACAACTAAGACCCTGTCTCTGAGCACTTTTAACTTAACAGAAAGCTGAACTCTTCATTTGTCCATTGGCCCTGATTTGAGGAGGGATTTGACGTCCAGGTGTGTCTCACAGTCTATGTTGCCCTAAGAGTCTGTGCCATGACTTTATCTGTAAAATGGAGATCTAACTCCTTTGCCAACATATGGGGAAGTTGTATATAAAAACATAATTAAACTCCTAAACTCAGTATATTAAAGACAGTGTAGGACAAGATGGGGAATGTTCAGATGATTTAGTAGCATGGACCACCAAAGCACATTGGCTAGAAGAGATTTCGTGAGGACCTTCCAGATACTGCAAAACCTGCTCAAAGTTTTGTCAACTGTCACAAAAACTGGCCATATCTTACCATTTAAATTGCTTCAAAAATATGTTCAAATTGAGACTTTTCTTGGAGTCCAAAAATGTGATCTTCATTAAAGAAAAAGAAGATATCTCATATTAGATGAGCTGTCTGCAGGGATCTTTACTCGAAAAAACGAGGGGGTCTCCTCACCTCCTTCGGCTCTGCCTTCACTGGTGCTGCTGTCTTCTCCTTGGGGGTTGTCTGTGGGAAGCAGAACAGCTGCTCAATGCTGCTGTAGTTGGGCTCTATCATCTCCTCGTTGCTGCTGCTCACAGAAGCCCACATTGAGTGGCTCTCTGAAGGAAAGAAAAAGTGTTCAGACTGGCTGCAGGGAGAGCTGAAAGCTCCTGGTGCTTGGGACAAGGTGAGCTGCTAGCAAGGGACATGCTTCAGGACATGAATGAAATAAGAAGAGACATATTAGTCTCTTAATATGATATATTCATCCATATTAGTGGACAAATGGTCATTATTGAGGAGGGGCAAGTGCTACAGGTGGGATCCAAAGGGGCTGAAGGGCAATGAAACCTGCTAGGGGGAGGCAGCACTGGGCACACAGAGGCTGTACAGCCCCATCCCTTCCTGTACAACTCTGTTCTCCTCCATGCTGGGCAAGCTGGATCAGCATGACAAGGACCTCAGACATTTTGTTTCTAGTATTATTTTTGCTTCCTTGCATCCTAACAGAGGGGCCTGGGCACAACTTGAACATTTTCTGACTGTGTCGTTCTCCATTTTTCATTTTATACTCAAATCTCCTTGTATAATGCTGGCTACAAGACTCCTTGAAATAATTTCTACTGCAATTTCTTATATCTTAAAAAAAATCATCACCCTAACATGCCTGTAGAAGCCTCTACTGCAATAATCCAAACATTTTACTGCTCTTGTGATTGAAGACATGCCTTATTTAGATTTCACCTCTGCCTACTTTCATGCAGTGGATGCCTTGCTTGTCTAGGACAAAGCTGACACAGCTTGTCCAAGCTTCTTCTCACATTTCATGCTCCACTTTGAATCCACTAGTAGAGGGAAATGTAACCCAAAAATCAAGAGATATGTGATGTGATGTGATCCTCACATGCACTCCTACTCACGACTTTAATATACCCAGAAACAAGCACAGATGAGCTGGGCAATAAAAGTCTGGGGAACTCAAATCAGAGCCTGATCTAAGGCACATCATAGTGATTAGGAAAATATTTCCATTCCTTTCTCTTCTTCGAAGTTCAAAGTATTTTAGTTATAAACAAGCTATTCCAAAGCACTAATTCAGTTGGAATAGTTACTACTACATTAGTAGTTTCATGTTACTTTTATATCAGCTCTGTAGGTCAAAAGTAAAGGAAATCAGGGAAGTTCTGTATCTAAACAGAGTCAACCACATCTGACAAACTTTAAGACAGTATTTCTTCCCCTGGGAAGCAAAAGCAGCAGTGTAAAGCACCCTTAAAGCAGCAGTGATTTTATGCCAGAAGCACCCACCTCTCACCACGTTGGAGGGCAGCTTCTGCCAGTTCAGCTTCTTCATTCTCAGCGTTGGTGTCTTCACTGCCTTGTGGGGAGGCCTGCCCAAGCCCAGGGGGCAGCTGTACTGGGAGGCCACCACGGCTTCTATGTGATCTCCTGTCATGCCAGGAAGGAGGGGTGGAGGGGGAGGGATGCCACCCATGCCAGGTAATGGAGGTGGAGGAGGAGGGATGCCACCCATGCCAGGCAACGGGGGTGGAGGGGGTGGGATACCAACCATGCCAGGTAATGGAGGTGGAGGAGGGATACCACCCATGCCAGGCAGTGGGGGTGGAGGAGGAATGCCCCCCATGCCAGGCAGAGGGGGTGGAGGGGGTGGGATACCACTCATGCCAGGTAATGGGGGTGGAGGAGGAGGAATGCCCCCCATGCCAGGCAGTGGTGGAGGAGGAGGAGGAGGAGGGGGGGGAATAGCCCCCATGCCAGGCAGTGGGGGTGGAGGGGGAGGGATGGCTGGGACTGGAGGGGCTGGGGGTGTATTTGTCATGGGGGATGTGGGGGTCATGGCTGCTGTGCCAGAGGGCAGAGGTGGTGGGGCTGGAGGTGCCGGGTTGGGAGCAGTGTTGGAGGGAGGGTTGGATTTCTCTGGCAGGGCACAGCAGGCTGTGAACTGGCAGGATGAGATCTTCTTTTCATTGTCCAGTGGCCCTGAGGGTGTTGCTGGTGCCCTGGTGGGGTTTGATGACCCCACTGGACACCGAGCTGCACGTGCACATGGCTCTGGCTCAGCCTGGGCAGCTCCAGCTGCGCTCCCAGACAGGCGGTGTTCAGCTCGCTTCTGCTTGCTTGGATGTTTTTTGATAGACAGCAGCCTCTCAATGACTTCTTCAACTGTGTTCCCTTGGACTAGAGAAATGAGTCAGGGTCAGGGAAGGGAACAAGGCCCACAGGTCATCCTCTTCAACCCTCACCAAGCAGTAAATCTGGAGCCATGGAGAGTCCATTTCCTGGTGTCACTTTACACAACTACACTTTTGGCTTCTAGGCAATTTCCTTCCCATGTGCCCAGCCCACAAACACTTCATAGCAAGCCTGCTAGCAAGACAGGCCAGCACCAGTGGCAGGATGCCAGTGAGGACAGATTCCCAGTGATTCCCATGAGCCAAAGCTCAGGGATTAACCATTAAAACAAGACTGGGAATCCCAAGCCCACTGCTAAATGCAGTCACCCACAGGGATGAAGCTTACACAGAAGCTATAGCTTTGTCTCACTTCTGTTCAGCTCTCACCAAGTCCCACAGATAATTTCCTGCACACTGGGGAAAGGCTTTTATGGGACAAGGGAAAACAAGAGGAGTGTGCAAGGCTGGATGGACGTGTCACTCTTACTGTCATTGGCGAGTAAAAGGGCTCTGTTCACTACAGCATCCAAGGACTCCCAGAGCAGGAGGCTGGAGTGATGAGAGGGTTCCAGGTGCAGCAGGCTCTGCAGGATGGACAGCAGCTGGACAGAGATTGGAGAGCGGCTCACCTGGAAGACAGAGCAGCTTCTGTCACAGCAAGGCTGCCTCCCAGCAAAGTGGATTAACTTGGCCATTGTGTGAGGGGCACCCCATGTGAGGGGCAACTTACTTTATTGAAGAGAGATGAAAAGACCTCATGATGATCATTCATGTTTATGCCATCACATATCCTTAATAACTCCTCATCATCCTCTATTTTGAACTCCTCAAATGTGTCACACTGGATAAGCAGATCCTCCTCCTCGATGTCTCTGCAATATTACAGCATTTGCTTTCAGTGGAGAGCCCTTCGCTAATTTTCAGATGACTGTTTTTTTAAATGGCTTTTATCTCTTTGCCTCTCAGACTCAGCTAGTTGGTGTTGAAAGTACCCAACTCTGCCTGATTTATAAAGGAGGAGATGCCATCAGTGCATCCTTTCTTGAACTGAATGTACCTCTTCCTACAATCAACAAATACAAAGGAATGGGACTTCTTATGGCATAACCTGGCACAGCACAGGCTTGCTATGGAATTCTCCTTGGAGCTGTAATAACAGAGTAGCATTCTGACCTTTTTGAAACAAGGCCACCACCTTCATTTTTTTAAAGTCAAGACTAATTAAAAATATTCCAGTGATGTTTCTATTTGAAAAACCTCCTTCTCTGTTATTCAAAACTGGATTTAAAAAAACCACACACTCTAAAGCTGACTTTTTCAGCACTCTCAAGACCACTCAGTGTTAGAATTTTAGAGTATTAGAGCAGCAAGCTCTAATAAAAGATCTTCTCTTCCCTAATTTTTTATGGTGTTGGATGGAGCAATTTCATTTACATGGATAACTGCAACTCACATAAACTGCATTCTAGAATTTATCACAGATGTTTCTGATCAAACATAATTTTTAAATTACATTTAGATATGTATTAGTAAATTGTTTTAGCTGGATGCTTCTGGGATCAACAGCAGCAGTGAAGGGGTGTTGAACACAGTGAACTGCTCAGTGAGCCCACAGCACTGCTTCAGATTCAGTCTGAAACAGCCTCAATGAGGACACTGCCACTCCATCTGTGCCCAGAGCCTCTGTGCATGCCATCTGTGCCAACAGCTGTCCCCCTGACACTGTGGTTGGCAAGAGCATCCTAACACTGGCCAAGTACCTCTAGCACCCATGGAATGGGTGCACAAGCATGGTCCACTCCACCCAAGCACACTGCACTTCACACAACAGAAAGTTGGCTAAGTATTAAGTTTCCAAAGCTACTTCACTGTGAATCTCATAAAAAAAAAATAAGTTGAGATCCTTACCTTAGCTTGTCTAAAACATCCAACAGCTGAAGCCCTGCCAGGTGAAAAAATAGACACAATCGCATTATGACCCACTTAGTACTTATTTGTTATGATCTTCATACATGTTATGTTCATAAACACTTTTTGTAGAGAGAGAAAAAGTGAAATTATCTTCAGATGGATATATCAAAGTGGGTAGAGTCATCTGGTAAATGATGAGACACCACAGCACACATCTGCAGCACCTGTGTGAGCCACTGCACAATCCCCTTGGGGTTATTGAGTGACACAGGCACTTTTGAGGCACAAGGGACCTCTGTCCAAGTCAGATGTCTAAAATCAGACTGATACAGTGGAATGCTCCTTGATCTCCATGGAGAGAAATGGAGCCCAAGCTCACCAACTCAGATGCACCCAGCACGTGAGGTGAATCCCAACAATGGTACCTAGGAGCCTGGGATTCTAGCAGTTGGAAACTGCTGAACCATGGGAACTCTGTAGTTCAACTGAGTAGATACAGAGTGAAGGAAATTTATCAACTCTTACAAGTAGTTGCAATATATGGAAATGTGGCCACATAAGATGGTTGGTTATAGAAATGCTCTGAAGAAGCTCAAGCGCTGCTGGGATTACAGAAAAAGCTATGGGAAAGCAGCAAAGTAAAAAAAAAATCTGTTGACAGAAAGGCTGTTGAGAATAAAGGATAAAAGAAAGGAGAAAATTAATATTTGCAGTTTTGCTCCCCAGCCTCCTCAGGCACCTTATGGACACATCTGAAAAAAACCCATTTGGTAACTTACTTTCTCCAGGGAAAGGTGCAACAAACATCCTTACCTATGAACTCGTTTCTGATTTGTGTCCTTGTTCTTAGCTCTTCTTTGCCCAGGATGATGGCATTGATGGCACTCAGCAGTGTCACCATGTAGGGCACGTTGTCTGTGTTGGACAGCTCGTTCATGATGATGCTGAACCGGTACTGCTGGTTCTTCACACTCTGTGGGTAACACAACTGATATTATGACAAGGATGGTCTATACAGACAGAAATGCCCATGAGTGTGGTGGAGGTTCTCAGATGGAATTAGCATCTGAAATCCTCAGTTTTCCCCACTGTGTACAGGACAAGAAGACAGGAGTAAAAGCAGCACTCCTCCATTATGGAGCAGGGGCTGGTTGGCACAGAAAGTCATTGAAAACACCTCCTGGATCCCTTTGTGCTTTCTGGTAAATGTACCTGAGCTTGTGGGCAGTGAAACCTGTGGATGTGGCACCATTAATTCTGATCTGGTGGTGCTTTTGCTGCCAGAAAGCACCTTGTGGTTGGCAGTCATCTGTCCACACAAGTCACAGAACAGCACCACAGACCTACACTGACCACAAAAAACTTCCTACAGCTTTCACTTCACAAACCCCTACTTCTCTTACCAAAACAAGGCAAAATAAACTTTATTCCCACCCTTTTCTGTGGTATATGGATCTGTCTGCATGGATCAAAGCTGAGCCATTCCTGCTGCTCCAACTAAACACTTGCCTTGTAATGGTCCAGAGCATCCAGAGCCAAAGAGTGGCCATCTGATGAGTAAATGCACAGTGCAGCCAGGAGCTCAAATATTTGCTTTTTGACCATGACATTAGTTGTGTCAAGTGCTGTAGGAAAAACAGAACAAAACAAAGAAGAATTTAAAATTACATTTATGTTCTGAATCTCAGTGTCTTCTGCTACATGAATTATGAGCAGTAGTAGAAAAGAGACTGAAGGAGGGGACCCAGAACAATGGGAGATGGGATGAGAAATATCTTAGTGTACAGATATCCCATCCCAATAGCACTATGTGATGGTAACTTCTAGTGGGAACAGCAAATGCTACAGTAACCCTTTGGCATTTTGGTGCAGCTTGTGGTTATTCTTCATTTCCATGTCCCAGTGACATACTGCAACAGCAGCCAAGATTTTTCAGCATTCAATAAATTTCAGCATGAAATTTATTTCCTGTTTTCACATATGGGTATTTTCTAGAACAGCAGATGAACAATTTTCTTTGATTAATGACACTTATTTTTTGTGCAGAAAAGCTCAATATGCATATGAGTTAGAGCAATTGTTCCAATGGGTCCCATGAATTCCCTTTTTGCACTACTCTTTCTCTGCAGGCCCTGGGAGCTGGATGGAATGCATTAGGCTCTCTTATTTTTCCTATATTAGAGCACAAAGAAGGTCCAACACTGAAAATCCAGGATACCCCCCTGTTTTCACAATACAAAAATGTCAGGTCCATATTTTATATAGACTAAGAAAACACAGGGAAAAGGAAAGAAGGGGACTTCAAAACAGAAGAGGGAAGCAAGTCAGCTTTCAGATTAAATGCATTTTAAAAAGCTATTAGTAAGGTTTTCTGGGAACAGAAGTTATCCATCCAGCACCAGCACCATTAAGTGCTGTACAGTAAGTCCTACAAGATGCCCTGATGAATTTCAAAGCTAATGATGAGCCAAGTGAATGGCAGGAGAATGTAAGCGGTGTTTATCCACCATCTTCCAGGAGGAGCAGAGTGAGCAGCACACAGAGCAGGCTCTTCTGAGTCCAAACATGCCATTTTCCCTACTCTTTACAGGCTACAAGACTCCAAGCCCTTTCAGTTCCTCTCCTCTGCCCTTGGGGCTCTCAAAGACCGAACAGCAAATGTCTGCTGACAACCAAATGGTTGAAGATTCCTCATGCCTGTATACAGATAAGGCTGGGTTTATTCCCAGCTTCTCAGCAGACTATGACAATATTTGTGTGGAAATAGCACTGGGTGGCAAAGGAAATGTGACTTCATAGCAGTTTTATTTTAAAGAAAGAAACAATCTTATTAATCAGTTGTGACCAACAATTTCCAACTAGCCTGGTGCAGGGCAGGAGGATAAGCAACAGGAACGTGCCCCCCCCAGTGCTGCATGTGATGGATGAAGCAGATGAAGCAGATGAAGCAGAAAGGTGTCCTCTCACCTTGGAAGAGTTTTCTGACGTAGCCCTCGTTGCTCACAATGTATTCTATGCCTTTGTGGGAGTTCATGACTGCTCTTACACAGCTAATGCAGGTGAGCTGAAGCAAGGCATCGGATATCCTGGCCACTCCTCGCCCTGACAGCCTGTCCAGGGCCTCCAGGAGCAGATCCAGCCCAGACAGCTCCAGGAACTGGACCATCCAGGCATCATCACTGTTCTCCAGCCTCTTCCTCAGCCCAGAGTAGTTCACCACTGAGGGCATTTGCAGGAGACGGATGCACAGCTCTGGCTCTGCATTTTCCAGGTTGGCCTCTGACTGGTCGGTCTCCTGGGGCCCGAGCTTCTCCTTCAGGGCAGCCCACTTCTTGTGGGCACCTTCCTTTTTGACTGACATGGTGAACAGTTTGTTCTGAAAGAAAAAGAAAAGAAAAAGTGAGAAGTTTGCCTGGACTGACCAAAAATGATCCAGTAGCCTGCTTTTTAATTAGTAAATTAATTAGTAATTTAATTGGTATTTAATAAGTAATTGGGATGTAAATTACAGCAGGTAATTTACTACAGCAGGTCCGAGCTCTCCAGCATGTAGCACATATACTGGAACCAGTCCTCTGTTGAAGAAACTCAATATATCCCCACCTTACCCACACACATTACATTCAGGCTCTGAAGACTCTGTGGAGAGACTTTTAGCACATCCAAGCCAGCAAACACAGCTTTAAAAGTAGCCAATTTGCACCAGTCAATTGCCACTACCTGTTTTCATGCAGTGAAAGGAAAAGGTTGGAAGCAGCATTATCAGCTCTGAACTCCTAATGCCCATTAAACCACTTCAAAATCTCACTGTGCTGGAGAGGCTGTGCAGTTTCTAAGCATTTACAATGGGATGGAGAAATAATTTTGAGCATATCCTGCTCATAAGAGCATCTGATTACCCTGTTCCTTTTTCGCTTTTATTTCTTTTGACTGATGTTGAGGTTAATTTTATAGCACTCACTTAATCTCTTCCTGTCTGCTGTAATAGCAAATATGTTTGTACACATGGTGTTTATGCCTGATAATGTCAGAGCCTGACAGGCTGAGAGTGCAGGTACAGCAGCAGGAGGCTGGCTACAAAAACAGCAGAGCACTTTTTTGGAGATGGGGAGCAATGGCCTGTCCCCCCTGGAGGACATGGCCTTTCCAGCCAGGCCATCAAGGCTAGCAGCAAGGAAGGTCAGGAACTGATTCAGCACACACAAACTGCAAAGCCAAGTGTAACTCTTGGTGCCAGATTTTATGGTTTTAGGCAGGATTAGTATTTTTCAGACTCACAGGGATCAAGCCACACAATGCAGGTCCTTTTCAAGGCTGCATGCAATGGTTTTGGCCACTGAGATTAGCTCAGTTGGTCAAAGCACCATGCTAATAATGCCAAGGCTGGCATTATTTGGATTTGATCCCCAAATGGGCCTTTCACTTAAGAATTGGATTTGATGATCCTTGTTGGCCCCTTCCAACTCCAAATATTCTGTGACTCTGTGATTCTGTTTTAAAGCTGAATTACTCCCATAGGTGACAGTTTTCCTCTATCTGATGTTACCTCCCCGTCCTGCCACACCACCAGTACCTCTGTTCCCCTGAGCTGCTGAGCCTTCAAAGAGCTCAAAATAACCTGGGGCCAGTTGGCCCCAAAACTCAGCATTTAGGGGACTGAAGGGATTATGGCAGACTCTTATTTTCCCTTCCCAGCTCAAGCACAAGTCTTTCTAGCCCAGCAGTGACTAGAAAAAAAGCTTGAAAAATCTAAACTAAGTAATCTCTGGAAGGTTTTGTTTCCAGAAAGCCAACATAAAGGATGGACCCTTTACACTGGTTGGAAAAAAATCTCATTTTAAAGCCTGCCTTGTGATTTTTCCTGCAGACTGTGCCATTGAGAAAAGTCCTGGCTCCTTCCCTGCAGCAAAGCTGCATGGCTTCTGTTTTACCCAAAGAGTCATTTTGGCAATCTCCCCTTGGCAAATATACAGCCAAAAGATTTGCTGACTGATTAGTGACAGGCACGATATTATAGGCCTAAATATGCCTCTGGGAAAGATTCAAAGTATGATGGGGTAGGGCACTTGAAAAGTTTCCCTGAGAAAATATGATGGTGGGACTTTCTGGCAGCTCACAGCATCAAAATCTGCATTGAGAGGTCAGAGGGGTGGGAGAGTTAGCAGGATTTGGTGACAGAAGATCCATTTAGAGAGCTCTGGAGAAGCCCTCTGGCAGTTTTCTTTTGGTTCAGTGGGAAAGAAGCTGGCCAAGCACCCAGTTGCTCCCTGTTCTGTTAGCTGAAAAAATGATGGTCACGATCCAAAAACATGAAGTGGCAAATATACCATCTGAGAACACACTGTACAGCTGAAAAGTGATAAAAAGGACCATAAAAAAACCAACCCAACCAATCCCCAAACAAACCTCCCTGCCAAAGCACAGGCTTGAATTTCCAAGATTTGTCATCACTCCCTGCAGTCCAGAGCCCTTACTCACTCTTGGTAAAATTCTTTTTGGGATTAGTCAACCCCAGTCCCTCCCCTGTATTCAAGCCCAGGAATTTGGGTTAGGCTTGATGCAAAGGAGAAGAGAAATCTTTCCTCACTGCAGGGAGAGAAGCAAAAGTTTCACAGCCCTGGGGATGGGGCAGCATCCTACACCTCTCACCAATCATCGTGATGGCAAATCTACAGCCATGGGGCTGGAGAGTCCACCTGCAGTCAAATTCTCCTCCACTCTGTGCATGGAGCCCAGACATCTCTTTCCAGTGCTGGTTCAAGCTGGACCTTCAGTGTAGGGCAGTACTGAGAACCATCTGACCTGGGTGCTGGTCAGCCCCTGGGGCTGCAGAAGTGGCTGCCAACTGCAAGCTCCTCTTCTCTTGTGTGACTTCATTTATACTCAGCAAATCACTTTTTTATTTGAACATAAATAAACATTTCTTATCCAGCCAGACAACAAAGCAGGCTGACTTTTTGCTCCCAGATACATGAATGCCTCATTATATTGTATTTGTACTATATTGTATCAGCTACAGCAAGTCAGAGAAATTACAACAGCATTATTGACCTCAGGCTTAGCTGATTCCTGAAAATTAAGCTCCACCAGTGCAACAGGAGGCAGGAAATACCGAGAGAGCATCCTGTTTACCAGCAGATTTGTTCTGAATTATCCTTCCCTCCCACCTGCTCCGCACGGATGTGAAGAGATGAGAAACAGAAGCGGGCAGCACCTCTCCAAGCAGCCCTGGCTTGTGTTTTCATGCACTAAAATGAACAAATTGGACTGATTCAATATTCTTCCCCACAGAGAGTGCACCCTTTTTGCAGGAAAGGATAAAGGTAGCTAATGTATCTAATTGTAAAAAGGGAATAAAATAAACAGGAGCTGTACTATATAAATGGGAAGGAAATGAATATGGAGGAGATGGCAATACAACTTTGCAGATGGTGTGATAAATCTGTTTACAAACACAGATAAGAGTGATATATTGTGAATGCAACATCTTTCCATATTTTCCATGAAGGAAAATGTTGCAAAGATTTTCGGATACATCCTTAAAGGGCTGCTGGTTTTGCCTTTTATCTCTGACCACAGGAGCTTGTTAGCAGGTAAATGATCTCAGCAGAGTGAGGACAGACAAGGACTGAAATGGAACACATCTATCTGGCTGCCTCACAGAGGCTATTTAAACTTCCCTTCAAGGGAAGGAAAGTGCCCTGTCAAAACCAGACAGGACAGCTGAATACACCTCACCTTTTCCCAGCAGAAGGCCACAGGGAGCTTTGCCTTTTGTTTCCCAGGGCAGAGAGGGGGCTGTGATGGTGGAAGCAATGTCCCCAATGTCCCCTGTGTCTGACCATGCCTGCAGCCCCCATGTTCTGCCTCCCCAGCTGCCTGCTCAGCCCTGGGGCTGGGTGCTGCTCCCCTGGGCACAACCTGAGAGTGTGTCTATGCTTGCTGCTGTAGGGACACTCACAGCCACAACAAAGAACCACAGAATCCTTTAGCTTAGGTTAAAGACCTTCAAGATCATCGAGTCCAACCATTAACCCAGCACCACCAAGCCCACCACTAAACCATGTCCCCAAGTGCCACATCTACATGCATTAAAATGCAATCCTCTCCTCATCTTGTCACCCTCAGGAGCTGGTTAGCCCTGATGGGGAATCACAGAATGTTAAGGGGTTAGAATGGACCCCAAAGATCATCTAGTCCCATCCCCCTACCATGGGCAGGGACATCTCCCACCAGACCAGGCTGCTCAAAGCTCCATCCAGCCTGGCCTGGATGCCAGGGTTGTAACATCCACAACCTCCCTGTGACAGTGTCTAGCTACCCTCACCATAAAAAATTTCCCCCTCTTTCAGTTGGTACCCATTACTCCTTGTCCTGTCACTACAGTTCCTGACAGAGAGTCTCTCCCTGGCTTCCCTCTAGGCCCCTTTCAGGTGTTGGAATGTGGGATCTCAGCACATCGTTCCCGATGTCCAGAGATGCCAGGAGAACCCTTGGGGGTCTCGAAAACCCTGGAATGTTGCCAAGAGTGTTTGGTGGCTTGATTTTGATCCATCCACAGAAGTAACAAGAGTCTGAGGACAAGAGAATCACTTTAGAGTAAAAGGTGTAAAAGAGACACATTTAGAGGGTGAGATATAGATTTTAAGGTTTTTGGTACAGGGGGGTTATGGAGACAAGATGGAGAGATCGGGGCGTGTCTTGTCCTTCTTCTTTCTTCTTCTTGTCCTCCATCTCCTGTGATGATGTTGGCACTTAGAGATTGGTTTCTAGTGAAGATGCACTTGCCAACATGGGCGAAAAGCATTGGGAAATAAAGGTAAATATTGTATACGTAGGTTTTAGTATAAAAAGACATGACCGCCCCGTGGGTGGTCAGAGAGTGCCTGTGACTGCCTGCAGATCGGACCTCTGTTGGGCAGACAGAAAATTTTTGTAGATAAGAAATAATAAACAACCTGAAGACCGAAAGCTGAAGAGTCCGGACTCGTCCTTTGCATCGTGCCCACCAAAGAACCACTCTACCCGTGTCGGGGCAGAGACAGACAGCCGGACCCCGACATTGGAAGGTTGTTATAAAGTCTAAAGCAGCACCAATGTAAAAGTACTCCTAATTTTAGGAGATTCCTTTGGGAAACATAAAGGTATCCTGAGAGCTTGTGTTCTTGCACGTGGCAACAGCAACATCACAATTCATGGTGCCAACTCCTTGGATCACTGGGTTTGCAAAGTTATAATGTTCCCTGCATCCATCCAACCTGGCCTGTAAAATTTTCTCCTCCTTTCTTTCTAAATCGGGTACTTCCCAGATTCAGTTTTCTGTGCCTCTCTGTCCTTCAAGTCCACTCCTAGGGAGATGACATCTGTGGGAGATAA